TCAGACAGAATCAGTAAGGAAAACAGCAGATTTGGACAACACAAGAGAACAAACGGACCTAACAGACGTATAAAGAAATTTATGACAACAGCAGCCTACACCTTCTTCTCAAGCAAACACGGAACATTTTCTAGGACACAAAATATGTCGAGCCATGAAACAAGTCTTAGCAAATTCAAGAAGACATCGTAACAAGTATCTTTTCCAAACACGATGGTATGAAACTAGAAAATAATCGGAAAGAAACCGGAAAACACGCAAATAAATGGAAATTATACAATGCCTTCCTGAACAGCCAGTGGTTCTAAAGAGAAATTAAAGAGAAAATGAAAGCAGCTTGAAATAAAAATGGAAACAAAACATACCAAAACTTATAGGAGGTAGCTAGCAAAAGCAGTCCTAAGAGGGAAGTTCATAGCAATAAACACCTACATTAGGAAACAAAAAACCTCAAATAAACAACCTAACTCTATACCTCAAGGAACTAGAAAAAGAAGAACAAACTAAGGCCAAAGTGAGAAGGAAAGAAATAATAAAGAGCAAGAAATAAATGAAATAGAGAAGAGGAAAGTAACAGAAAAATTAACAAAACCAGAAGTGTGTTCTTTGAAAAGATAAGCAAAATTGACAAACTTTTAGCTAGACTAAGGAGAAAAGAGAGAAGACCCAATCCAATAAAACTATAAAGGAAAAAGAAGACCTTATTAGAGCTGACATCACAGAAATACAAAGGATCATAGGAACCTACTATGAGCCAACAAACTTGACAACCTAGAAGAAACCAAGAAATTCTTAGAAACATAAAGCCCACCAACACTGAATCAGGAAGAAATAAAAAACCTGAACAGCCCAATTACTGGTAAGATTGACTCAGTAATCAAAAGTCTCTCAGCAAAGAAAATCTCAGGGCCAGATGGCTTCACTGGTGAATTCTACCAAATATTTAAAGAATTAACAACAATCCTTCTCAGACTATTCCCAAAAAAAATAAAAAAGGAAGGAATGCCCCCAACTCATTTTATGAGTCTAGCATTACCCATTTAATACCAAAACGAGAAAGAACACTACAAGAAAACAAAACTACAAGCCAATATCCCTGATAAAGATAGATGCAAAAATTCTCAGTATGATACTAGCAAACCTAATTCAGCAGCACACTAGCAAGATCATTCACCATGATTAAGTGGGATTTACACCTAGGATGCTTCTACACACATCAATATGATACATTAATACAAGAAAAAAAAGTCATATCACCATCTCAATAGATGCAGAACAAGCAGTTGACAAAATTTAACATCCATTCGTGATAAAAACTCTTAATTCAGTATAAAAGAAATGTATCTAGGGGTGCCTGGATGGCTCAGCTGGTTGGGCATCTGATTTCAACTCAGGTCATGATTTCGCGGTTCATGAGTTCGAGCCCCGCATCAGGCTCTGTGCTGACAGCTCAGAGCCTGGAGCCTACTTTGGATTCTGTAACTCCCTCTCTCTCTGCCCTCCCCTGCTTGTGCTCTGTCTCTCTAAACTCTCGAAAGTAAAAAAAAAAAGTAAAATGAAAACAAAGAAATGTATCTCAACTTAATAAAGGCCATAAATGACAAGCCCACAGCTAAAATCATACTCAATAGCAACTTTTTTCTAAGATTAGGAACAGGACAAAGATGCCCACTCTCACCATTCCTATTCAACCTGGTATGGAAAATCCTAGACTCCACCAAAAACAGATCAATGAATTCAGTGAAGTTAAAGAATACAAAATTAACATAGAAAAACCAGTAGTATTTCTATACAGTAACAAATTATCCGAAAAAGAAATAAAGAGAATGATCCTATTTATAATAGCATCAAAAGCAAGAAGATGCTTAGGCATAAATTTAACAAAGGAAATAAAAGATCTCTAACCTGTAAACTACAGTGATGAAAGAAATTGGAAGTCACAAATAAATGGAAAGGTATCCCAAGTTCATGGATTGGAAGAATACTGTTAAAATGTCCTACTATCCAACCACCATATATAGATTCAATGTAATCCACATCAAGATTCCAATGGCATTTTTTAGAGAAGTAGGGAAAAAAAATTCTAAAACCTGTACTTTAACCACAAAGGACCCTGAACAGCCAAAGTAATCTTGACAAGGAACAAAGTGGGAAGCATCACACTTCCTGATTTCAAGCTACATTATTAAGCTATAGTTACCAAAACAATCTGACTAGGCTACAAACAGATACATAGACTAATGGAACAGAATCAAGAGCCTAGAAATAAATCTATACATGTATGGTCAACTAGTATTTCACAAAGGAGCCAAGAATACTCAAAGAAGAAAAGACAGTCTCTTCAGTAATGGTGCTTGAAAAGTGGACATTTACACGTAAAAGAGTAAAACTGAAAGCCTATCTTACATGACTCACTTGAAACTGAAATTACTCACTTCAAATTAACTTGAAATGAATTAAACACTTAAATGTAAGACTTGAAACTGTAAAATTCCTAGAAAAAAAACAGAGGGGGAAAAAACTCCTTGACACAGGTATTGGCAATCATTTGTGGGTCTTGGCAATGATTTTTTGGGTGTGAAACCCAAAGCACAAGCAACAAAATAAAAAAACAAATACGTGAGACTGTATCTAATTAAAAAGCTACTGCACAGCAAAAGAAACCATCAGCAAAATGAAAAGACCTATGAAATGGGAAAAAATATTTATTTGCAAACCACATACTAGATAAGGAATTAATATCCAAAATATATAAAGAAGTCGTACCACCCAACACACACACACACACACACACACACACACACACACACCCTCAAATAATCCAACCTAAAAAACAGGTAAAGGACTGAGACATTTTTCCAAAGAAGATACACATGGCCAACAGGTACATGAAAAAGTGCTCAACATCACTCATCAACAGGGAAATTCAAAACAAAACCATAACAAGATACTGCTTCACACCTGTTAGAATGGCCATTATTAAGACAAGAGGTAACAAATGCTGGTGAGGAAGCAGAGAACAGGAAACCCCCATGCACTGTTGGTAGGACTGTAAAATGGTTCAGCCACTGCGGAGGACAAAATGGAGGTTCCTCAGAAAGTTAAAAATGGAACTACCATATGATTCAGCATTCCTACCTTTGATAACATATCTGAGGGAAACAAAAACACTGTGTCAAAGAGCTTTCTGCACCTCCTGTTCATTGCAGCAGTAGTCACAAAAGCCAAGACATGGAAACAACCTAAGTGTCCACTGATAGACGAATGGATAAAGAGGTTGTGGTGTATATACACACACACTCTCTCTCTCTCTCTTTCCCTCCCTCCCTCCACACATGGTGTGTAGCGTGTATATTACATATGTATAACAAATAGTACTCAACCATAAAGAAGAAGGAAATCCTGCTGTTTGTAACTCACGGATGGAATTTGAGGGCATTATGCTAAGTGAAATAAGCCAGACACAGAGAGAGAAATACTGCATGACCTCAAACATGCAATCTACCATCTATTAAAAAAGAGACAGAGAGTGTCAGAGAGAGAGAGAGAGAGAGAGAGACACACACACACACACAAAGAAAACTAACTCATAAAGATCAGATTTGTTGTCACCAGAGGGAGGGGCTGGGATGAGACAATTGGATGAATGTGATCAAAAGGCAAAAATGTCCAATTTTTACGAAATCAATCAGTACTAGGGAGGTACTGTACAACACGATGACAGTTAACACTACTGTACGATAACGTGAAAGTTGTTAGAGAGTAAGTATAAATATTAAGAGTTCTCATCACAAGGACAAAACTTTTTCGTTCTCTTATTTTTCTATCTGCAGGAGATGACAGATGTTAATTTATTGTGGTGATCATGTCACAATACATAGAAGTGACGTTACTGTATACCTTGAGCTCACATAGTACTGTATGTCAATTATATCTTAATAAAACTGGGAAAAGGAATGGCACAGAGTTATAAACATTATTAAATTTTATTAACAAAAACTTTGTACATTTTCTTTAATACATGTGGAATTTTACATCTAGGTAAAATAACAACACATTCAAAATTTACCATTTGTACAAATTGTTACAGAATAACAACCAGTGGGTTAAATAAGTAAAATAAACCACACCGATTTTTTTAATTATCTACAAAAGATTTGACTTTCTTTAAAATTCCCCTGAACATATAAAAATAAATTAATTTTACTTTTCAATTAAATCTACCAATTAGAAATATTACAAATCAAAATATCAATGTTATCTTATGAATTTCTCACAATACAAAACAGATTCACAAAACCTTATTTACAGAAATGAGGTAAGAACTGTGCAATGTTTAACCAAGAGACATATTGCAGAATTAACATGTTCTTCCAGCTAAGTACACAGTGGAGGTCTAATTACAGCTGGGTCTTTTCCACTAATAATTCACACATTTGAGAACAGTGCAGTGATTACATCCCCAATCGTTTCATCCCTACTCCGCCGCACCGGCACCCCGGGGGTGTGGCTACCCCAAGTGTAAGGACTGTAAATACAGACTCCACCTGTTCCAGGAACTGCAGTTGTTTGGTTTGTCTGAAATCACTGTCAGTAAATGGGAAGTTGTTTAAATTAACAAGAGAAATCTTACCAAATCCACTCGTTTTTCTTGTGACTCATTAGTGGATAAACACCCAGGTAATAAGTTTCGCCTGAGCTATCTACAGTGGCATAGTAAAGGTTCCACTCAAGGCAGAAGCACGGGGAGGGCTGCTGTGCGACACCGACTGCTCCCACCACTCACAGGACTGACGACGCTGCAGGCCCGGCTGTCCAGAGCCGTTTCAACACAATGGAGGTACGAACAGGCACTTGATTCAGGCCAAACCCTACCAGCAGTTTCCAGAGTGGCCCCTCTTTCTGAAAGAAATCTTTCACTTTGAATTGATCTGGTTCCCCCAGCAGCCTTAGAACTCACATAACTCAAAATATGAGTAGTTAACTTTAAAATATGAGTAGGTCTTAGCACTTTAAAAAAAAAAAGTGTTTAGCAAAAGAAAATTACCTTTAGCAGAAGCAGACGTTACCATCCTAACTTGATTACCAAGATTGGCCAAATCCCATCATAAAGAAAATTTTTCTAACAAAGATTGCCAAGTCCCAGTTGATGACCTATTAATTTGCAATATTTAGCCAATAAAACTCCAATAGAAGAAATTGAACAGTTCCTTAAAATTTGTCTTAAGATCAGACTCACGGAGCAAGCATACTGTAAACCAAACCAAAGACTGTGTTTCATATTCCAACTTGTAAAACAAAATCAAAGTTTATAAATGGAACAAGTCTTTAGTTTTGCTGTTCATCTCTCCAACTTATAACAAAATGAGTTGTGCACCAACTATATTAAATTTCTCTTAGGTTGATAAATTCATTGCATGTAAATTATTTCATTGACAAAAGTTAGTTATTAAATTTTTTTTCAAAGTTCAAAAAAATCTGGGTTGAGGGATGGGGGATATGGGAATTCCATTTCAGTGCAACAAAGCAACAAGAAAATTAATCAAAGCCTTACAAGAATGTCCTTGTGGCAATTAATCCTTTGTTGTGCAGTTCATTTCTTGTCGCATTTCTTCATAGGTGTAGGAGGGCTGCAATGGCAGCCAGATGAAGTGCTAGAGCAGCAGGCGAGGCGATTTCTAGAGGTTTCTCAAGTGTCAACTTTTCTCTTGAGAGACGGGCCCAGTTTTATCACTAAGTCTCTGCAGTTAAACAAAACCAAAGGCATTAGCTAAATGAATTTGTGGCCCGCACTTGAGGTAACCTTTTCTCAAGCTGGAATTAAAACTGAGATAAAAATGGTGGTGCATGTGGTTATTCCATCTTTTTCTACAAGTTGGCATGACTACTTCTCAGCACAATATAAAGACATGAATTTACTGGTAAGCATTATCAGTTGCTTTATATTACCTTCAGCAGGATACAAAGAGAGAAGTGCCCGTCTGAAGGCCAGAACTCATAGAGAATGGATGTAAAAATCCCCCAAATTGGCTTTTTCCACAAAAGCAGTAATATGGCATTATAGAAAATGAACTAAGAAAGTCACAGGTTCTGACCCCCATGTCCTAGCTTCCCCTGAAGCTTTCAACAGTTTGAGTCCCCTTTTACTAATCTATACAAAAACTTTAAAGTCTTCAAAGACTGAAATCACATGTACTATTGTATCTAATGGAGACACCTAGCACATAGGAGCATACTCAGCAATATTATTTCCTGGGGCGCCTGGGTGGCTCAGTCAGTTAGGTGGCTGACTTCGGCTCAGGTCATGATCTCAGCTTTTGAGTTCGAGCTCCACGTCAGGCTCTGCGCGGACAGTTCAGAGCCTGGACCCTTCTTTGGATTCTGTGTCTCCCTCTCTCTCAAAGATAAACATTAAAATAAATTAAAAAATTAAGAGAAAAAATCTTATTTCCCAGCCTTGTTTTTCTCCCATTAGGTAATTAATACTGCTTATTCTCCTTATTTACTACTGTGGTTTTCCATTATGTGAAAACCAAAAGGCTTTCCATTACAACGTGCATTCCTGTACAACTCTGGAAAGGGTAGCTTGTGAATGAATCCAGGCACACTTCGTTTTGTTGTGCTTCACTTTATTGCACCCCCTCTCAAACTGAAGGTCTGTGGCAACCCTGGGTCAAGCAAGTCTATTGGTGCTATTTTTCCAACAACATTTGCTCAATTTGTATCTCTATGTCGCATTTTAGTAATTCTTGCAGTATTTCAAACTTTCTCATTATTATTATAATCGTTATGGGGACCTGTGATCGGTGATTACAACTAGCCGAAAGCTCAGATGATAGCACATTTCAGCAATAAAAAGCATTTCCTATTTAAGGTATGTACTTTGTTCTTTTAGATGTAATGCTACTGCACACTTAACAGACTACAGGATAGTGTAAAGGTAATTTCTATACGCCCTGGGAAGCAAAACAATTCATCTGACTCGCTTTGTTATTGATACAGAATTTGCTTTATTGCAGTGGTAATAGTGGGACCTGAACTCGCACTATCATCAGGGTACGTCTATAATTCGCTTTTTAACACAAGAAAAAACTGAGAAGGGAAAAATGGTCTAAGAAGTTCCCACATGAATACAGAATCGCTGAAATCTCCCACGTGCGCACCACTGGAGAGGTGCCTAGGCTTGTGTAACGCCAGTACTCACCATCAGGGAGTCAGAGAAACAGTGGGGCAAACAAAGGCACCGAAAAGTTGATGAAAACCAATAATCCTGTATTTTGAACCAACTCTTGTTAACTAAAAAAAACTAACATTTCTGAGAACTAACAGCACAGTAAACAGCAAGCTTTCAAAGTGATGGAAAAGAGCAAACATGGGGACTTTCCACACTGTTATCAGCCAAGTGTCCCACCTCATGGTTTTCCTTCTTCCTTCGCCTGACGTCCAGTCTCCATTCTCTATCCCAGTCTCTTTCCTCTAACACAGTTCTGCCCTGAACTCAAGTTTAGGGGAAACATTTACACTCCAGTAAAGTAGACCTAACTGAAGGGGAGAATTAATAGAAAGAAACAGCCTTAAAATATGTGCTACTCTATGGATGGCATACTGCTCCTGCATCCAGGTTTAATTTATCTTCATGTGTCCAGTGAAAGGGTAAGAAAGATGCTATCACTTAAATGAAATTAGGAAAATATTTAAATTCCATTACAAATGTGATTATGATTTACTTTCTTTTTAAAATTAATCTGGCAGAATAACTGGAGTGCCCTAAAATTTATATTTTAGTTTTATTATAAATGTAATTCAGTTTTAGGGGCGCCTGGGTGGCTTAGTCGGTTGAGCGTCCGACTTTCGCTTAGGTCATGATCTCGCGGTTTGTGGGTTCGAGCCCCGCGTCGGGCTCTGTGCTGACTGCCAGCTCAGAGCCTGGAGCCTGTTTCAGTCTGTCACTCCCTCTCTCTCTCTGACCCTCCCCTGCTCACACTGTCTTTCTCTCTCCTAAAAATAAAAAAAAATAAAAAAAAAACATTAAAATTAGAGTTTTAAAACAGGCTTAGGACTTACTCAAAGTGCTTTTATTTTTCCAGCTAGAACAGCTAAATAAATGATCCATCTAGTATATTTTATAAAGTAGATTGCATTGTTTATGAAATTTTCATATATTGTTCNAGCCTGTTTCAGTCTGTCACTCCCTCTCTCTCTCTGACCCTCCCCTGCTCACGCTGTCTCTCTCTCTCCTAGAAATAAATAAAACATTAAAAAATAATTAAAATACTTTAAAAAAAATAAAATAAAATAAATGTAATTCAGTTTTAGAAAGTACTGTAAAGCCAAATAAAAATATTCCAAAATTATCTAGACTGGCTTTATAATTATAGACTAATTAGACAGAGATTTTCAAAAAATTCCCAACTTTTATCTTTTGAATGGACTGTCCCATACCACTTACTATAACTGAAATACATTTTCATTTTCAAACTGCTAAATTATAAAACATCCTTCAAGCCATATGCACAAATTTAAACCAATATACTTAAGGGATATATGAATTGGCTTGGGTCCCTCATGTTTACACTACCCAGCTGCTGAAACAACTGGTTTTAAGATTAAATTATCAGGGGAATAATACATTTAAAAAAAAATAAGAGAGAAGAGCTAGAGACCGTCATCTCTGATTAATCAATCAAATTCTTTTTATTTCACTAGACATAAGAAAGCAAAGGTACTTACTGTTACTTTCTGACTTGCATTATCGCCGTGGATGGTGAGGAACGGGTTGGTGGTAGCGGGGTGCAGCGGCGGCGCCGGCGTGCCCGCGAGCAGGTTGTTAATCGGTATCTGTGCCGGCCCAGGCATCTGGAGCTGCTGCAGTTCAGGCTGGTGGTGCTGCTGGTGGTGGTGCTGTTGCATTAGCTGATACAGAAGGGCCTGATGCTGTTCCTTAGGTAAGAACACGTGTGAGAAGGTGAGTTCCCGGGCACAGAATTCAGCAGGCAGTAAAGCCTGACTTTTCTATTTTCTTCTATTTACTTTAGATAATATTAGATATTTAAATATAGGCCGCATTCAAACTACTAAGAAAGAAAACAAGTTATCTTATCCAGAAAAATACACTGCAATAGGTAATGACCATTTGTTATAAAATGTCTATTTTATTAATAAAATGGCTTATTTTCAAAAAGGGCAAACAAATAGAGGAGATCTCTATTTAAATTAGGTTATCCATGATAATGAAGGGCAGGCGGCAGCAGCAGAGAAGTCACAAGTTATCTGTACTGACTTTAGAATGTGGGCCATTCTTGTTCCCAATTCTGGGAACTTAAAGTCACTTTTAAAGTTCTCATTCATGTCAACAAAGAGTGCTTTCTTGGTGCAGTTTATGAGACTATTCTTTGCAACAAACATGTATTTCATTTCTTGAGTGTTTTACTATGTGCCAGCCAATGGTTTGAGACATATCAGTGGGGGGGGGGGGGGAAATCTCTGCCCTCTGTGGCTCAGCCGGTGGGGGGGGGGGAAAGAGAAACAAAAATGTTAGGGTGTGATTACTGGCAAGGATCAGGGTAAACAGGAGTGTAAGGCAGTACGGCAGGGTGAAGTCTGGAACAGACCGCTCAGGGCGGTTCTCACTTAGACAAGGACTTGGGAGGTGAGGAGGGGATCTGCTCGGAGGGGGAAGGGACGGGATTTCTAGGCCGATGGAGCAGCTGGTGCTACGGGACGATTGTGGGGGCATATCCAGTGTGATCGGGGACCAGCACAGAGCCCACGGGCACGCCGGAGACGAGTGAACAAGCAGGAGACGGAGGGAAACGTGGGCCTCACGGTGGTAGGCCGTGAACACTTGGGCTTTTGCTCAAAGTAACATGGGAAGCGAGAGGACAGTTTCGAGCTGCGGAGTGACGCAGTCCGACTTGGGACTTCTTGATGGACTCAATAGGAGGCATCAGACAAGCACGAAGGATGACTGCGAGGTTTTGGCTTGAGCAACCGCAAGTACGGTGCTGGCTCTGGCTAAGGCGGGCAGAACTACAGGTGGGGCAGGTGTGGAGCAGGTTCGCAGTGCAGACCTGGACACGCTATGCTTGAGATGTCCATCAAAATATCCAAATGGAGACCTCAAGCAAGCAGCTGGATACAGGAGTCTGAAATTCCAAAGAGGGGCCTGAGCTGAAGAGGGAACATCCACACATATGTAAAGCTGGAATGGAGGATAGCTTTTGAAGTTCTTTGACTGGAGGAGAAGATCACTGAAATTCTAGGATACTCTAAAAATGAGAGGCTGAGGTGAGGACAGGGCCCAGGAAAGGATGCTAAAAAGGAATGAACGGTTAGGTAGGGAGAACGCCAAGATAATGTGGTATCCGGAAGGTGAAGGAGGAGAGAGTGATCAACTCTGTCAAACGCTGTTGCTAGATCAAGTAGAAGAAGAATGACAACTGTCCAATGGACTTAGCAGCATGAAGGCCAACTGGGAGGACACAGCAAGCAGAAAAACTGGGCAGCAGTTGGTGGGGCAGGGGCGACTGGCCAAGCAAGAGTTTTTCTTAAAACGAGAGAAGTTAAGTATGCCTTAAAATAAGATGGGATGCCTGTCAATGAACCAATGTCATCCCACACCCGTGGCCGACAAAGAAAAGGCAGAGTTTAAACCACTTCAGTTCTTGTGGCCTCTGAGCAGCGGTATGCTACAACCTCCTTGTGAACCATGTTCTAGAGACGAGACTATTATCATCTTGATTAATAGGAAGAACCCCCAGTAAATGGAACTTTAGTACTTCACATTAAAATGAGAAAGAGATAAGAAAATAAGACCACATTTTAGTGTAACCATTATAGAAGAATTTATATATGATCTCTCTTTATACTACTGTAAGAACAGTTAACAGTGAAACTGATGATCCAGAATCAAAACAAATATTTACAATATATTTTTGATTAAAGCAAAAGAATGGGTAGATACATTTTATTTTCAAAGATTTTATTTATTTTTTACAAGATTAAAAAAAATTTTAAGTTTATTTAAAGAGACAGAATGCATGTGCAACTAGGGGAGGGGCAGAGAGCAAGAGGGAGAGAATCCCAAACAGGCGCTGCGCTGTCAGCATAGAATCCAATGTGGGGCTCAAACCCACGAACCTTGAGATCATGATCTGAGCTGAATTCGGACGCTTAACTGACTGAACGGCCCAGGCGCCCCACTATTTTCTTTTTAAGCAGACTTCACGCTCAGCACGTAGCCCAAGGCGAGGCTTGAACTCACAAATCCAAGATCAAGACCTGAGCTGAGATCAAGAGTCTGACGATTAACTGACTGAGCCACCCAGGGACCTCCCCCTCTCCACCCCCACAGTAGATACATTTTGGAAAGAAGTTCTAAACAAAGGCTGAAATTCTGAGTTAATAAATAGTGCCTTGTTCAGGCAGTCCAACTCAATGAAGTACACTAGGGAAATAGAGTTGGACAGAGTCACTGACCACATCTAACCCTGTCTCGCTTTAAGTTTATCAGCACACAGAGCCAGGGTGTCTTGCATGTGAGCCACACACTTCCAGTCTGTTTTTTTTCTTTCTTTTTAAAGATTTCATTTTTAAGTAAATCTCTACACCCAACACAGGGCTCGAAATTACAACCTCAAGATCAATAGTCATATGCTCTACCAACTGAGCCAGCCAGGCACCCCCCCACACACACTTCCAGTCTTAGTCAGTTCTTCCTCCTCTCTTCTTCAAGATACCTATTCCACGTCTTCTCTCTCCTCTAACCACCAATACTCTTTATCTCCCTCAGCTGATACCTTTACTTCCAATTCCAATTTTAAAAACTAGAAACACTAAAAGTGGTTTCCTCAACCTCCTATCACGAAAACCCTGACAGCTGCTCTGCCTGCCTCTTCATACATACAGTAGAAAGCTGCTCTCGTCTCCTCTCCCCTCCCCTTCCTCTGAAGAACTTTGCTGCTCTGTTATCCTTCCTCTCTCCTGCACCAGGAATCTTCCGATCAACATAGGTGCTGTCGTATTCAAAGTGAATAGAAACTTCCCGTTAGACCGAGTCTTTCTTCCGTAGCTGCCCCCTCACCTTTTTTATTTTTTAAGAGAGCATGTGTGAGAGTGAACAGGAGAGAGGCCGAGAAAGAGAATCCTAAGCAGGCTCCATACCAGAGCTCGATCTTCCGACTATGAGATCATGACCTGAGCCAAAATCAAGACTTAGGGACACTTAACAGACTGAGCCTCCCAGGTGCCTCATTTTTTTTCTTTTTAACAGTAAAGTGTCTGGCGTTGCTGGTACTGCATCTCCACTTCCTCTCCTGCCATTCTCCTTTGCACTATTCAATGAGGTTTTTACTTCTCACCAAAACCCACAACTGTCAACAACCTCTAGACAGCCAAATCTAGTGGTCAGTTCTTGTCCCCCCAGAAATATTTTACACAGCTCAATCTTCCCTTTGTTCGGAAATTCCTATCTCTGCATCCTCCTTGGACCCCAGACTCCTACGGCTGCCCAGTCCACATCTCGCCTGAACATCTAAACACACATGGCAAACGTGGGATGTGTGTAACAGAACTTCTGGTTTCTCTGCAAAACCTGTTGCTCCTCCGAGTCTTCCAAATCTCCGGAAAACTCAACATCGGCTGTTCAGGACTCTTCTTTACCCTGAATGTCTGACACATAAGACTTGTTGGTTCTGTCTTCAAAATACACAATCCCCACCAGTCTCCTGACCACATTCATCGTGCTGTTTCAGACACATCTTCTCCGTGAACTACACCAACAGCCTCCCTGTCTCTTCTTTTGTCCCTGTCTCCCCTCCCGACACATACGGCCAAGCTAACCTTTTAAAAATGTGAATTGTTACCTTACTATTCTGTTCACATCCTCCAATTCTTTAAAATAATCCTCAAAAGTGAGGATATATGCAATAAGATTTTAAAAGTTGAGGTAATTATTAAAACTAAGTCATTAGTACATTATATACTATTTTGATACATGTGACAATTTCCACAATAGAAAAGCAAAAAAAAAAAAAAAAAATCACAAATGGCTTTTCATTATCTTTAACCTAAATTTCCTGCCACAGACAGCCACACAAGGCCCACCTGTGACCTTCTCGCCTCTGCACCAGCCTCTCTCATCCTGCATTCATGCTGGCCTTCTTTCTAGAGTTCAAAACATAAACACAGGTGGTCTTTCACGACTGTCTCTCTTCCATTTCCCCATGTCAAGAATTCATGCTCCTTCAACTGTTATTCAGGTCCGTACTCAAAAGTCACATATGTGAAGAGGCAAGACCCTCCTATGTAAAAAGGCCCCCATCCCACAGTTCCTCTGTCCCCTTATCCTCCCTGATTTTTTTTCTTAGTACCTCACCACAAAAACTATACATGTAGTTACTGTCCATCTCCACTGTCAGAACAAAACTCCATGAAAATGCAGAGTCGTCCTCACCACCGCATTTCCACAGTCTACAAGAGGAACCACAGTACATGGTCTAATATTCGCAAATGAATCGACGATAATGTCGCCACAGGTACTGCAGACTATACCAAATGGCCAGACAAACTATTTTTGGGTGACGCATCCCATAATGCTGTTCACAAAGCGGACAACTTAGACCCACGCTGAACATCGATTACAACTTGGGTCACTTGCTCCTAATAAAAATCAAGTATTATCAAAATGCAGAACTTACTGGCGTGAGCTGCTGAGAATTTAACAACTGCTGAAACTGCTGTTGGTGAAGGAATATCTGTCTTTGCTGGTCAGAAAGTAATCCTAGTCCTGAGGCACTGAAAAACGATTACAATTCTTACTTTCTACTAGATATCTTTAATGGTTTTTAACATGTAAAATGAAAGACAACTTTACAATTTGATGTTCAATAAGTTAGCAAAGTCAAATTTTTAAACACATTATCTGATCACAAAATCCTGTACAAATTTCTTATTTCCCTTTCTCTCTGTACACAGATAAACAAGAATTCACACTGTCAAGAACCGTTTTGTTTTCCTTTTTATTATAAACCAAGAAGGCACTAAGTATTTTATGGGATAGAAATTTAAATTGTTTATAACATGCATGTAATAATTTTTACTTCAGGATAATTTAACCCATACTAAGTAACACATATGTAAAAAAAAGAAAGAATTCCAACTACTAAGTGACTTGACCTAACCTTTTTTAATGGTCCCAATGGTCAGTAAAATTAAGCACCAATCAAAAGGGAGCCAGAAGAAATAGTCTAGTAGTATCCACTGCAATGCATTTAAAATGGTTTATTCCTCAAAAGTAAGTTCAATAACAACATGGCTTTCGTCTCCTATTTTGAAGTCAAATGAAATTCCAGTACAATGAAACAGTGTCACTCACTGGAAATTCAAATATTTGACTTACATCTGGTACCAAAAGCTTTGGTTATAAAACGAGCAAAATTGCATAGCTGAATTTTAAGAAATATTCATATGTGATCTTCATTACAATACTGTTCTTCAGAATTTATGATACATGGAGGGATCGTACGGGGAGGAAGGTACAAGGGGAGAGAACACACAACAAGAATGAAATTTTTAGCACAGAATATATTTAATGCTTTGCTACTAACGGTGATTTAATTTTGTTTTAATTTGAATTACTTAAGTTTCAAAAATAAATCGTTTTCAGAATAATACACTTGGTCTAGAAGTTTGCTGGATTTTAATTTCTTAGATTGTATCTATAAGAAGCACATTAAAAAATCCCAATCTAAAGTCTGGACAGCACTGGTACTACGTTGCACTGAAAACCCAAAGTATATTTAAGTGAGTTTCTTACCTGTTAGTCAGTGTGGCTGGCATTGGATGTGTTGCATTAGGTGGTACAGTTGTGTGGGTGAGGGGGGTAGGGTTCTGTGATATTGTGACAGGGGTCTGAATAACCCCATTTAAAGCTCCTACAATGCCATTAATTGCCAGTTGGTTACCTGGCAAAGCTCCAATTATTCCACCCACTCCAGGCACTGCAGGAATGGTGGATGTTACAGTCTGCATTCCACTAGCCAGTGCCCCCACTGTCACACCATTGACCTGCTGAACTCCGCTAACGCCCGAGCCCGGCTGCGCTGGACTCTGCCCAGCAGGAGGTGGGGTAGAAAGAGCAGAAGAGCTGCTGGTGCTCTGTCCACTGGAGGTTAAGTCCTAGTGTAAGAAAGAATAGAGACTTCAGTTAGGAAGAACACAGCAAAACTATTTAAAATCATTTTAAGTCATTTAATGTGATCTACTATTGTTCATAAGAAAAACACAGAAATGAAACTAACCACACCCAAATTACCTGATTTAACACAGGGAGAGAATTATCAGGTAAGAAGCTGTTTCCTAGATGAGGGCTCTTACTGCTGTTCAAGGAATCAGTTGTAGGAGCTAGAATAATAAAAGACAAAAAGAAACCTATTTACCCTGTTAAATTGCATCATGTGTAAGATTAAAGGCTTATCTAAAAAGCTTATCCTGAAGCCCACATTAAAAACACTTAAATATTAAGTCTTGCTATTTCTAATACTAGCTTAAATGGAAAAATCCATAACTCTATTGAATACTATGGCTTTAAATCAATAGAGATCATTACACATTTAAATAACTTATCATTAAATTATGTACTAAAGAAGTCACAGCAAATTCAAGTAGATCACTTAACAGATTCTTCACATTCTCTGCGAATAAGTTACCATTCCTTTCCTTCATATAACTGGTAACCAGTTATTATTCACTTATTATGAAGAAGATATGGAGAGTCTAGCCTACTTTCCTTAGATACAAAATAAATATGTTCACACTTACCATTCTGTGCTGAAAACGCATGCATTTGATGAGATGGACTAGGATTTGTTGTTATTGTTGGAAAAGGCACTGAGAGCTGTGCATTCAATAACTGAAGACGTTCTTTTTTGGCTGTCAAGTTTTTAATCTGTTCTTCTAATCTTCGATTTTCAACTTGAAGTTGGTGTAATGACTTTAGCATTCCTAAAACTAGCAAACATTTGGATGGCTTTAATAATGACAGGTTCCCACACACGACTAAGCATTTTACAGACCTGAGTGTCAATAACTTTAGAAATAAGTTAATATAGGAAAGCATTTTTAAATTACTAGGTACTAGGGGCACCTGAGTGGCTCAGTCAGTTAAGTGTCCGACTTCAGCTCAGGTCGTGATCACACAGTTAATGGGTTCAAGCCCCGTGTCAGGTTCTGTGATGACAGCTAGCTCAGAGCCTGGAGCCTGCTTTGGATTCTGTGTCTCCCTCTGTCTCTGACTCTCCCCTGCTCACACTCTCTCTCTCTCTCTCAGAAATAAATAAAACATTAAAAAAAAATAAATTAATAGGTTTTATTTCTAAATTTATATGTAGATATAAATATACCATAATATATGTGTGGATATAAGCATAAAGGGATAGTGGTCCTTCTGGAAACTTTGACGCCACATATCAAAAAAACCCCACCCACCTGATTCAGGTAATTTCCATTTCTCAAGGAAAAATGATAGGAACATTTTATTCTCACCAAAATAAAATCCCAATTAAAAAAACCAAAGCGCCTGCCAAAATTTTTCATTCATATCATGTTTAAGATGGGAGAGAATCCCTCCACTTCCCTTCACAATAAAGAGCCCAAGTGTGTGTGCACTGCTCCGTTAAGCTGGGCGAGGGCGAGCCACCCGGCCTGCTGCTGCCCACGTTGCCCAGCAGGGAGCAGTGTGCGCGCGCCGCAGCCCACACTCCCGGCTCCCAGAGAAAGGCGTGTGTTGCTGTAGCAAGGCCGTTTCCACCCTGTCTCATCCCCTCAAATGCAGTTGCAATCCCTTCCACAACTCAGACGTCTCGGCTGACAACACAGAGGGGCTGTACCCGGGTGATGGACACTTTAAAAGTTCTGTGTACATATTAAAAGTTGTATTTGTTTAACACGCCCTCAGGGCCTTCCGAAGACACAACTGTACTGGTACAGACATATATGGTCATTTCCCAAGGATTTAACTTTTATCCCTCCTCTTCAAGATCCCACAAAGAAACCCTTAGTGTACCCAAATGAGATGCAATAAGACTAAGCTAAACCTGTCCTCCAGCTATCATGTTTAAAGGATTATCCCGGCATGAATTTCCTCACAATTAGCATTTTTTGTCAAGGCACCATTCATAAAAAAAAAAAAAAAAAAAAAAAAAAAACAATTTATGGCACTTGCCTACTAACAATAAGCAAAATGTTTTGTTTGGCTATAATAAAGCAGCAAAAGTTTATATCCCCAAATGATAAAAACCATCCATTTTTCCCTCAAAAAATATATATCCTTAACATTAGCCCAGCTTCTCCAGCTAACCACCGCATATAGGAACTTTGCTTTTCTGGCTTTTTTCACCCATGGTCCTCCAGAATACTTAACATTGGAAATACTAAATATACATATACACACATAAATACACACATATATATATATACACACACACATATATATAATATATATTATGTGTATATATATACATAAATACAATTTAATAAGTTAATGATATATAATAAAAGAAAATCCTATGTAATTTAGTAATCGTTATTCCTACTCATCTAAATTGTAAAATTAGGAACACCGCTCGCCATACGTGACTATATGCACTTGTAAAAATGAATTCTCCAGAGGTAAGCCAGTTTTCTTCAAACAAGTGAAGAGAAGATATAACTCACGTGTTTTACTAAAATGTGAAAACTGGTTAAGAACAAAGTACCAATGTTAAAATAATTCAAAACAGTAACAATAACCACTGAACAGATAAGTGCTTACTATAAGCCAGGCAATGCTCTTCACAGTTTTTTATGCCATTTAATCCTCAAGGCAACAGTATGATATAGGTACATTATTATTCCCATTCTACAAATGGGAGATTAAAACGCACGGACATTAAGAAATTTGCAAAAAATGGGGCGCCTGGGTGGCTTAGTTGGTTAAGCGTCCGACTTTCGCTTAGGTCACGATCTCGCGGTTCGTGGGTTCGAGCCCCGCGTCGGGCTCTGTGCTGACTGCCGGCTCAGAGCCTGGAGCCTGTTTCAATCTGTGACTCCCTCTCTCTCTGACCCTCCCCTGCTCATGCTGTCTCTCGCTCTCTCTCTCTCCTAGAAATAAATAAATAAATAAATAAATAAACATTAAAAAAAAAAAGAAATTTGCAAAAGATTGTATTGTTAATAACAGGTAACGCTATTCTGCAGTGAGACTGCAGAATCGCTATTACACCATCACTCCATACTTTCTCACCATATTATAGAAACGTATTTCACAATTTCACTGCTACTCCTGATGAAGTGTGACTGCTGCATCTATCCATCTGTCTGTCCATCCATCTTTCTTTAAAGACATGAAAAGAATACTTACTGTCGCTAGGAGTACCCTGTTCTAATAAAAACTGCTGGCCTTCACTCCACTGCCTCTCCAAAAGCTGTTCTATGCTGGCTGCTACTGGAGGCAGATTTTCCAAACTGCTGTTGACTGGTTGATCATAGCGAATCTGTAAGCTGCTTACAGGAGATCTGTTGAAAATATTAACTCTCAGGTTAAACGGAAAGAGAGTGCATTCACACTTCTTACCTTATGCTGGCCCATTTTCTGTACAAGTTATCTAACTCTAGGCTGCCTGTGCTGGAAGAATGATAAAACCATAATCCACCCTAAAATTGAGTAATTACCATTCTCCCTCCCCAAATTATAAAATCATGGGAATAGCTGGCTATATATACTCAGTAAGTAAAAACCACGAGAACACATAAGCACAACACCGATAATCTCTGAAATAAGCTGTAAAGGAAGTTGATACAGCTTTAGACAAAAGGAGGAAAGATAGTATTAGAAAACTTTAAAATAATTAGCCGGAAGAGTTCCACAATTCTGCTTTAATATGCACAACATCAGATGAACACTGTACAATTATAATAACGTAGAAAGCATTTTAATACACAAAGAAAGAATTTCAAATATCAGGAAAAGGAAATTTTTAATGATTTTGAAGAAGCCTTTTGTTTTAAAGACAAAAATACTTATTTTCTATTATTTTCAGGATTAAGGAGTATTAGCAAGACCAAAGTAAACTTTTATTTGAGCCCTTTACACAAATTTTTCGAAAATATCTTAGACCTGTACTTCAAACGGTAATAACTCTTCCAAAGCAAATACTACTTAGATTAAGATAAATATGTAATGTTCTCTCATTCACTTTTTGTTGTAAATTAGTAAACATGCCCATTTCTGGTCTCCAGCCTCTACACTAACATGAGACATTAGAAAAGGGCTTTGGAGTTTCCAAAGGGTTTCCACATAATTATCTTGTATGATCTTCAACACAACAACCTAGGAGAAGTCAAAAGTGTGGCTTATTGGTTCCATTTCTATAGGAGGAAACAAGATGGGGCTTTAGTGACCTGTCCAAAGATTCACTGCTGGTAAACGGTAGAGCTGGGGCCACAACTCAGGTCTTCTAACACCCAGCTAGTGTTCAGCCACTGCCTCAATATGCGGCTCTACAAAAGTCTCTTGGAAGAACAAGTTAGACAAATGAGGTTTTTTTCTTCCATACGTAAACATCACGTGCTATATATAGTTGACCATCTCTCTCCAAATAACACATTATGCCAGGATAATTTAGGCTGTTACATGTCAGGCTGATTTTTAAAGGGTAATATAAAATTGGAAATATATACTAAAAAAAATTTAGTATAATTTACTGTTTGAAATTCTATTTAGCTAATGAAAAACTAAGAACTATTATGCTAAGCAAAATAGCACTAAGGGATCTTGCAGAATTTCTGTGTAGTTTCTAGGGTATTTTTAAGAGGGGAACACGGAAATACTTTCCCCACTAAGCAAATGAACAAAAGTCCGTTGGTTTTCTACTTTGAAAAGAAGAATAAAACAGTACAGAAGCAATCACAGCATAAAATTACAGATTAGTCACTTGATGTTATCATTGTGTGCTTCAGATTCTTAGTTTCAAAAGAAGGAATATTTCATTTCCTATAGAGCTCAATTGGGAAAAATAATACTACTTTTAGGTCATCCAAGAATTTTATAGGAAAAGAAACTAACTAGTGGTACCACTAGAAAACAGGAAAATTCAAGGTTAGTGAACTAATCTACTGATAAAGATGTTCCTTAACAGACATTACCAATACATCAGCAACACAGCAACAGATGCTAACAGTATCACTGCATAAAAACTTTAATTTTTAATAGAATACTTAAGTTCGAATAGTTGAAAAATTTTAATTTCCCATAGTTGAGAGACAACTCCAGAATGGGCTTTTCCCTCCTTCTCTTCTCCATTCTCACCCAAGTCTAACCATGCTTGAGGCACAGTTTACAAAATTAGAGAGCAGAGAGAAAACAAACTAGAAGAAGGTATAGAAGTTGAAAGTGGAATATAATTAATAAGAGAGCTACAGACTAAAGTTCGACTGTTTTCTATAAACTGGCACAACTGGCACAGTATTTCCTTGGACAAAAGACGTGGGCACTTACACTGTGCTCAGAAAAATTCCACCATTTCAGGAGAACTCTGCAAAGAGCGTTCTGCTAACTTCCTTATCTCCTGAAGCACCTAAGTTCTTTCATATAACATCTAAGACAATTTTACAGAGCAATATAATACATTTATTATACTTTGATTCAGATCATTTTAGGAACTAGAGGGATTTCATTTTATTTAGCTTATTTTTTTAGTAATCTCTACACCTAACGTGGGGCTCAAACTTATGACCCCGAGATCAAGAGTCACCTGCTCTTCTGACTGAGCTAACCAGGAGCCCCAAGAAGTAGAGGGAATTCAGAAATGAGCCCCAAGAGGGGCACCTGGGTGGTTCAGTCGGTTAAGCGTCCGACTTCAGCTCAGGTCATGATCTTGTGTTTCATGGGTTTGAGCCCTGCATCGGATTCTGTGCTGGCAGCTCAGATCCTGGAGCCTGTTTCAGATTCTGTGTCTCCCTCTCTCTCTGCTCCTCCCCTGCTCAATGCTCTGTCTCTGTCTGAAATATAAACTATAAAAATAAATAAATAAATAAGATATGAGCCCCAAGAACTAGGAACCAGAGATGAAGGGGTTCAAGTGCACTGCCTACAACACAGCTAAAACTGTAACCCAATGTTGAAAGCCTTGAGTCTGTAGCTTCAAAGGGTTTTAAGACTACTTCGTAACCAAAAAGATTTAGCCAAATTAATGTATTTAACAGTACCAGTAGCTAAATATACAAATGATAAAAACAAGAGAGTTCAAATAGATTGGAAATCGAAGAAAGGGTAGGTCTTTCTAAAAGCTTACAATCTAACCATGTGTGTAAATTAATATTCAAATTAATTGAGAATCATTTTTCTTGACTGTCCAGACATGCTTCTTATCTACAGAATGCTTTTAAAGCCTCACTAATGTGTGCTCTGATAGGAGATAAAGAAGTCTCCAAATCTCCAAACGTCTCCCCTGCCCCGCCCTGCAGAGCAAACGGGCGCTTACCGTGGCGAGAGACTTCCCCGGGGTGAGCTTCCTCTGCCAGCCAGGCCGCGGCCATTGTCTCCGAGATCTTGATCTGCAGGGTAAATATTTCATAGCTGATAAAGTGACTCTCACTAGATAAGAGGTTTTAAGCTCTTGCCCTGATTTTCCCTAAAACGTTCATAAAACCTTTACTACTACTTTGCAGTTACTATGAAAGTAGATCTAGTATGTTGCTAGTTCAGAATTGCTGAACTGTGGCATGTAAGGCGTTGTCCCTACACGTTTTTGTGGGTGTAGAAGGCCATGGATTATGTTCCGTTCTTTCATTCCTTTCAATTTTACAGCACAGAAGCGTGGTTTGCATTTGCAGTACCCTCCCCTCAGCCACTTTTAATTTCTACGGTTAAAGTAATGAATCACAGCTGTGGACAGCTCATCTGTATGCTTATCACAGCAAATCCTTATGCTTTGTATTTTTTAACACTTTGCATCCCACGACAAGTCATAAAATACATAGTGTACTGCATAAAGCCACACACTGTAACTAAAACTACACACCTTCCGTGGATCCTCACACCAAGAATAAAGTCAAATATAACCCTAAAGATTTAAATGGACAAAAACAAGTAGGAAGATAGCATTCTGTACTTAAAAGGGGGAAAAAAGTTAATTTCTTCAGAATAATTCTTAGGTAACCCCAAATATCTCTGCTTGAAACGTAACTTGCATTTCCCCTACAGTCAGTTCCTTATAAAATCACCCAGGCTGGCCTCCCCTTATTCTCAGTCAGGTAACCTCTGACCTGAACGGGTAAAGACATGACTGATCCATTCTTGGTGAACTGCTAAACCCATTCCCTTCCCCCAAACAGGCATGACTACTTGGACATGTCAACAAATCCTTAAGGATGGAATGAAACAAAGCAAATCCAGTGGCTCATTAAAACAGTACAAGAGGCAAATGCTACAAAATGTCAACTGGTAAAAATTCACAGGATTACTAAACACTGTAGAAATTCTCTAACAGGATTTTTTTTTTAAACCAAGTTTGTGGAATGCAATTTCATGAATTATGCAAATAAAGGTTTAGGCTATTCACAGAAAAGCCCAGTGTTATGTTACTTTCATTGCACAGAACTGAGAACTGAACACATCAATCACAAAAGTCACCGGAGACATTGTTGCATTCCTGCCTGCTGATGGCTCTGCTTAAACATTTACATTTCAGACAGTAAAAAAAGCACATCACTACTTTGCAGCACAGCACACAATTTACTTCCAACTGTGACTCTTCTGGTTGGGGGTGGGGGTTGGGGGGTGGGCACAATCCTGTATTAACCACACCTTCAGCCTTTTCAAAGAAAATGAGCTAAAGGCAGGGACGGGGGTGGGGGAGTTACACTGGGGGAGAGTTTAAAAATTCTTGAAAACTTACCTGTTTGATTGTTTTCAGACTGAACTATAAGAGCTGCCACTGATGAATTTGGATTTAATCTATTGCCGTACATATGAGATGGTGCCTGACTAAGAGAAGGTCCAGACAGGGTATTTGCCTAAATGAAAAGAATTACAAAGATAAATGAACTATATTAGAAAATATCTTCATGCTTTTCCTCCTGATAGACCTAGTAACTATTTTCTCTAACCTAAGAATATAAGCAAACATTCCTGACTTTCTAAAGAGGAAAATTTACTCTTTCTTGTTTTACCATTCCAACATTTCAGTTTTTGAAAAGTTACATAATTCCAAATTAAAAAAAAAAAAAAAAAGACTGGCGCATTCAAAGTTAACTACACTAACTTTAATTTCAAAGTATCTAGTCACTAACAAAACCCAGCAGCATGGTAACCCTGTGAACATATGACTAATTATTTAATCTTATTAAACCATTTACAAAATAAAAGCAGGTAGACAACAGATGTCTAACAAATACTTCAGTCCCTTACATCACGGGCCGGCTAAGGAGGTCAAAAGGGCCAATTTCTACTTTTAGTGTTTTAACTATACAGAGCTATATTTCCATTGCTTAACTCTGTCATTAGTAAAACCTGCACACTATTCTGTTACTTCCTATTTTGATAGACTTGGAAGCCTGCTGCTTTTTCTGTTTTGTTTTGTTTTTATTTTAAAAGAAAGCAAACAGGCATCACAAGTATGTTTTCTATACAATGCAGAGCTCAACGAATCACAGCTTTGCCCTGACCCCATATAAGGCACTGTCTTTTTGGCAGGAAGCCAGCTCCACTAACTGAAGGGCTGGTCCAAAGTTTGTAATTCATTCATGTTGCTAACCACAATTCTGAGGGCCTCTCCTGGGACTTGTGCCAAACAAGGGAAAATGAACCCTTAAACAGATGAAGCTACGGAGGCTGGCCAAAGTCTTGCGTAATCCAATGTAATAAAAATGCCTTCTTTGATGTGAATACTTTCTCCCACTTTCTAAGAATATTATAACCTTAAAATGTGGCATTTGGGGAACAAATCTCTTGTACACAAAATACTGTTACTCAAAGAAGGCTATTACTAGCCCGAATACTTTTCAGATTTAACATAACCAGAGATTTTAAAGTAGATTTCTTATTCTTTTTCATGAATGAAATCAAGCTTAACCTTTTATAAAATGAAATTATTGTATAGTTATTTCAGAACAGAATTCTGGAAACGAATTTCAAAGGATCGAAGCATTCTAATATAAAGAAGCTAAATAATAGCAGAACAAAAGATGTGGGACGTTCTACCACGTACAACTACACGCAAGAGACCAAGGCATGTCAACACAGTAGTTATAAAAAGCAAAATATTACAGAAAATAAACTGAGTTTCTGGAAAGATTCAGACCCTGCCATTATATATGGCTTCTAGCCAACTTACTGGGCATGAAAGCTGGACTTTACAATTCACAGAAATGGTCTGTGAGGTAGAATCCTGTCCTTGCTTTCCATTGTTTCAAAGGGCATATTTCCTAGTTCTTCCTTTAATGTCTAAGTTTAATTTCTGGGTTTCATTTTTCCTCTTATTAAAGATGTGTATACAATGCCAATAAATGTATACTATAAAGTCTTGTTTAACTAGCCCTCAGTAAAAGGTAAGTCACTAGGTCATATTAGACACTTACCAGGTATTTAGTAGTACAGCACACTAAACACAAAATTCATAAATGGAAACATAGCTAATATTTTTGGTTTTGTTTTTGTGTTTGTTTGTTTGCTTGGTTTTACATTTTGGCTACTCATAAAATAACTTAAGATAAGAAAAATCACCAAACAGACAAACAGAAAGACCAGATGTTACTAGTCCCATGTGTTAGCAGCTCAGGTACCTTATACCTAAAAATATTCTTTGCTGAGCCAATTTGTTCTTACTCTAGATATAATTCTAAAAATAACAACTAAGCATATAAAAAATTAGAAGTGGAAAATTAACTAGAAAGAGGAAGAAAAGTCACTTCTTGAGACATTTGCTGGCAGCAGGAATCAACAGCTGACAGTATGAGAAGAAAGAAAAAGAGGAGTGAGGTGGCGCTCCAAGAACGGGGACGTCTAGATGCCTCACATGTGCACCTCAGCCTTCCGGCTCTGCTGTTTCGCGCAGTCATCTGTAACGGCTGAAATGTACTAATATTACACCAGTTGGGTTATCAGTTTTATGAGCTGACTTAGTCTCTTGATAAGAATCAAAAGATCCTACTCCAATCAGAAATATACTTTTTCAGGAAGAGTTCTTTCTGAAAGGGCTTTATATTTATCCTTAGTAGCTTCAAATCTTTTGATGTAGTCTTCAAATTGTCTCAATTTCTCTATCACACGTTAGGCCCACCATACTAAACAATCAAAATGCAGAGCAGGACTGCATAATAACTGATCTACATAATGACTATCCTCAAGAAGAAGATAAATCATCTTTAGCATAATTCCTAAAGAAAAAAGTAGATGTTTTATAAAGGCGGCAGGCAAAAGTAAAATTAATAATAAAATAAAAACCTAAAATGGGAATATATTTTTCATTATCCTAAATGATCAATTTCCCAAATTCCTTGAATAAGTAAAAAATACCTGGTAGTTTGTTTTTAAAAAATTATTGCATTTATTAAAACCAGAAACTTTGGAATGAGATGCAAAGTTATCAATTTTATCAGATAGCATTTTGTGGGGTATTAAAACATCTAAACCACTCTACATTAAAACTCAAGTCATTAACATCATTTTAAGCAGTAACAAGAGTTACGAATCCACAAATGTCTGACACTGCTTCGTCAATACTTCTGAAATGATGTTTAGAATGGTTAATGTTGGGTACCCATGATCAGCCTGTTGCCACCTCTGGGACAAAAAAATCCTCATCAGTTTAGTGAAAAGATTCTACAGCTTAGTAGCAATAAGAAGAGTAAGTGAGGGGGGCAGGGGCAACTTACTGAGGAAAGCATATATGTAAGGTTGGGCATTTTGTAGACTCAAAAATTTCTGTTGTCTTTAACAAGTGAAAGCACTAAGATTCTGGAGAAAGGAAGGACGTCCATGTGAACCTAAGAAACACTGGTAAAGAAACATAAAGGACACTTGAAAGCTTTAATTATAAGAGAAATCCGGAATAAAGGAAACAACATACACATACTTCTCCCACAACTTACTTTAGATGGGAGTTTTTAAAAGTATACCATACATCTACTTCAGAAGAGCTGGTATAAAAGACTGGCCATTCTTTTTGGAGAGAAGTACCTCTACCTCAGAACACTTCCACTGAATCTTGCCCAAGAAAGGAGAAGGGCTACTAGGGACAGAGATCCATCCTGAATCTACTGGCACCATAAGAACAGGGGTTGTTAACTCTGCAGAGGTTGATGGAAGGAAATCCAAGTTATATGTGAACTACTTTTGCAACTTCTCTAAATACCGTACATCTATAATTATTTCAAAGAAAGTCAAGGGGTGCTTGGATGGTTCGGTCAGCTAAGCAACCCATTCTTGATCTCAGCTCGGGTCATGATCTCTATACTGACAGCACAGAGACTGCTTGGTATTTTCTCTCTCCTGCTCTCTCTGCCTCTCCCTTGCTCATTCGTGATCACTCGCTCTCTTTCTCTTCTCTCTCTTTCTCAATATAGGTAAACGTAAAATAAGACAAAAACAAAATTATAAGTCAAAACAAAAGAATAGTTAATAGTGTCCCACTGAAATCACAGCATCTAATCAACATGTGAAAATAGGTGTTGGGTTAGATCAAGATAAAAATATTTAATAAATATTGTAAGTTCATATTGCCATAATAAACTTCTTTTTTAAAGTTTATTTATTTATTGGGTGGGGGGGAGGGAAGGACAGAGAGAGAGACTATCCCATGCCATCTCTGTGTTCCCCAACTCAACATGGGGATTGATCTGATGAAGTGAGATCATGACCTGAGTTGAAACCAAGAGTCAGACGCTTAATCCACGGAGTCGCCCAGGTGCCTCACCGTAATAAACTTCTGCTTTAGCTTCCAATATACGATATCTCAGAGTTTTTTGTTCCCTCCCCAAGATTAATTAAAAGGAATCACTTCTACTCAAGATGTTATAAGACACTTATTCTAATACTCTGGTAAAAGCCTCACTAAGAGAAGTATAATTATTTTCAAGATGGACCCAAAGACAAGTAGAGGAAGAATAAATTGAATAATTACTGAGGTAAATTTAAGCTATCTTGAAAAAAAAAAAAAGAGTATGTTTAGGTTCCTGAGTCAAAGAACCCTAAGCAAACTTAGAATAAGTTATACTAAAACACCTAGGAAGATACATAGGTCACTACCAAGGCAGTATTCAAACTCAAAGCTGATAAATCCAAGAAATTTAGTATTTCCTAAGTAGACTCAGAGACCATATTAAAATATTAACAAGATCAAAATGACATTTCAGCTTGAAATTTCCCCGGCTGTTACTAGTTCCCCTCCTACATTTCAAATGTCTGCTTATGACCAGAGAGAAATTTTGAAAGAACTCTAGCTGTAAAGCAACTCTACCAATTTTCTAGGCACTTGGCTCCTCCTAAAAGAGTTAGACCATGAAGGAAAAAAGTTGGACTAAGCCTACTCAATTATCTGAATATCAGAGTTAAAAGTGGACGTTGTTTTATTACGGCTTTTTTTCTTCCAAATGTTGCTAAAGGCAGAATAATAAAGAATAAACAACAAACACTTGGTTTGAGGGGACAGAACTTATAAAAACTTCACTCTTGGAAAGTATCATAGCAATACATCACCTAGAGGTGGGAATGGAACTTTATATTTTGATCATACAGAAAAGGGTTACAGTAAGCATTTTTTAAATGCACAATTAACTTGTCAATAAACATTAAAGTCACATGATTCAAACAAGCTCACAACACAGTAAGGCTTCTTCAAGCGTTCCGATCCTGACACAGGATATAAAATATATTCTTCCAAAATCCTGTCAGATTCATCAAATTGAGTATTACTTTTAAAAATTTCTATTTCATATACATCCTTAGAAGAAAAAAATTTTCATGCTCACTGTATCTGCCATAAATCAAGCTTTCTCACCTAGGGCAAGGTACTACA